GACAGAGATAAAAATTGCTCTCTCCCTCTCTCTTTGGCTGGTGGTGGACAGGCAGGTAATGGGGGGACGCATCCGTCGAGGCGCATTTGCGTTCCGTATTATCTATCTTTTCTGGTCGTTTCCTGGAGCAGCGGTTCTTGTCGATGGTCGTTGTTTGCGCCACATCGCATGCACTACTCTCATTTTTACCCTCCCATAACCCACTCTAACGAACGATATTTATTTATTCATCGCGCGTAATAATAATAATAATAATAATAATAGGGTCGTACCAAAAATATAGCGACTGCGATCAGTATAACGGATTTCTTTTTCGTACTTCTTTCGAGACTCTGTTATGTGTCTATATAAGCGTGGTAGTAAATACGGAAAGATTTCTGGCAACACACACACACACACACACACACACACAAAAAGTTAACAGTAATAATGATAATAATAACATTAATAATATGTAAATGACTTGCTGTTGTAGAATGGCCCCAGTACTACATAATGTGTCTGAGACGATTCCTCACGAGCGACGACTCATAATAATAATAATGTACAGGTATATCGTGATAAAAATATATATCACGTTTATTCATAAACTGCGTTGATTTAACTCGCTATAAAAAGTGTATCCTTTTTTTTCCCATCATCCGACCAAAATGTAAAACTGTACATAGGTATATACGTACAAGGAGTCCCAAACAGTTACCAAAACACAACGAACAGCAATAATGGTAATGATAATAATTATACCGCGTCATAGGATCTCTGCTGTTTTTCCGACAGCTCCCGAACGCAGAACCCAACGAATAAATATTTTGCTTACGTAATATCCAAGTATATCATCGGAGGTGCCAAATGGAAAAACAAAACCCAAGAGCCATCAGACTGCACACGCATCCGAACAATGGCTCGTGGGCGTAAGCAGCAGGTACGTGTACGCCGAAAGACATTATTAGCACACCCATCACGACAACGTCTGAAAAGAACAAAAAAAAAAATGCAAAAGTATAACGAGCTCAAAGTGTAACGTGATAGGTAAAATGGGAAGTGACGAATAACAAAAGTAAGAAAAAAAAAAAAAATAATAAATAAAGGATCAGCGAAGCGGGGAAAGGCCCATGGCGCTCTGTATACGTGTTAAATGCTGTTTTTGTGTCACACGCGGCGGCGGTGTATATATAGTCAATAAGCGAAAATCGCGATATCCATCGGTGTACTCACATGTACATATATATATTGATGGCCAAGAAATAACGGAAGAAGAAAGCAGGTTTCTTGAAGAAGGAAGTTGGTATCACTGCTGTGAGTGTGTATCAATATATACGTGGATATGGCAGGCGAGCTATAGCACCATCATCTATATATATATATGTGCTTTTTCACCACGCAATTTATATAATATATGTTTTGTTTATTTCGAAAACAGTACACTGTGGTGGTCTACCACTGTGGTGGTAGTAGTACACACTATAGTGTATGTACATTGGTAGTAGTGTAACACTACGGTCGTCTGCTTTGTTTGGTATAACATAACGTATAACTTTGAGACCAGCATCAGCGCCATCTAACGGGACAAAAATTAAAAAATAAAAAGAATAAAAAGGTATAAATTTAAGGTTCAATTAAAATGAAAAAACACACCACCTATAGACACGTACTTTAAAATTTTTTTTCAACGATGCACACCTCTGTATAAAAATAGGTGTTTTTCCCTCATTCACAAAAAACGGTATACAATTAAACGATATTTTGTTGTTAAAATAATAGTAGAGGACATATAAATAAAATTAAAAAATAAAAACGTCAAATGATAACTAATAGGTATATTTGTACTTTCACAATTATTTTCATTATTATATATTAATACATTTAGGAGCACATACTTAATTAGCAAAATTATCTTTTTAAATCGCTAACTTTCAAAGTTTTGTGTAGTTATAACAATGTAGGGTTACCATCAGGCTCCCTTAAGTTGTACCTTCTGATGGGGATTAGGATTTGGGGGATACATATTTTTATAGGTGTTTAGACTTACTTACATCATGTCCACGTAAAAGCGCTTCGATTAAATTTTTCGAGTCTGGCACTTCAGCCCAATCTGGCCCAGCATCCTCGGTTGATGTCTGACCTGGTAGGTGGTAGCTCGCTAGTGTTTTTACTTTGTTATTATAAAAGTAAGTACTTAACCTTTAAAAACCATAATATTTTATTTCCCTGCAGCAGGGCAGCAGATACAGGTATACCTAAATATACACAGGTACACAGCCAGCATAGAGTGTGCATGTGCATGTGCCGTCAATTTCGGAACGCTCTGTGCAGCTGCAGATTCGCATCGACAACTAACCTCATCTTCGTTGTGCGACAGCCTCGGTCCTAGGGTGACTATATATTAGGGTNTATGATAACCAAAAGTGAACTACTCGGAGCTCATTCTCAACAGCGTCCTTGTATCCCGTACAGGCGACACGGGAGAGATGTTCCCTTTTTTGGATGATTGTTTTTTTTTTCCCCTCAGACTCAGTTTTCCAATTAAAAATCGCAGGGTCCAATCGAAACTGCAGCATAACTTGGAGGGTTTCCAACAATTTCATTCTCTACTTTTTTCGCGTGTGCAGCTTTACGGGAAAAAACAATAAGGCTCAAGTTGTCACGTGCAGCTGTTTTCAGTCATACTTGACAATAATGTGTACTTATCAACGAGGCTCAGACTACAGCGAAACCACTATTTAAAAAAAAATAACAAATCAGTATTGGTATATACATATTACAGGTCCATCCTGCATCCAAAGATATACTATACACGAAAAACTCGATCCTTATAATTTTCGTTTTTTCGACGCGCGACCACGTCGTTAGCACTGCCATTTGTTTTTCCAAACTGTCCACTCGATGCCCGCGGCCAGCTAACTCGCGCAGGTGTATATACATGTACATATATATATATATATATATATATATACACACATCGCTTTTAACTTAAACGTTATAGCCATGGGATTATATAGCGACTTGCTTTTGACGATTTCAGAGTCAGTTCGCCTCGCGGTCCAGCCGAGCGCGGATCGTTTAACCGTCGCGTATACTCTTTTATACCTACTCTCCGCTCTTCGATCGTTACATCTGTGTATACACTTACCTTGCCGATTTTTCATTCAAATCAGTCGTCGGCTTCAAGTGAGCTTCCAAGCCTTTTTTTTCCTGGGTATATACTTGATCAATCTTGTTTGCCTCGCGGAAAACGATAATTCGATTTTTCCATTCCGAGCCTTCAAAATATAAATTATTGATCTCTCGATTTTCAAAACCGATAAACGATACAACTTTCTTTTCTCCGCTTTTTGAAAAGGTCTACAGCTAGCAAAATGAAGCCAATGCAGACTACAGTTCTGCTGGTCGCGCTGTGTGCCACTTCGGCGGTGGCGATGCTGCCCAACGTATTTTACGGCTCGAAGGTACTCAGTGGAGGTAAGTGCTTCTGTTGTTGTTTTTATTTTCCCCAACACTATACATTCAACTATTGAGTAAGTAAGTAAATTAATTTTTTTTCACAAAAATTCAGCTATTGAAACTCGTGCGATTGAAATCTCCGCTCAAACGATAATTGATATAGATCGGTTAAATAATTACTTATTTTTCGCGGTTATTATTTTTGTTGTTCTGTTGATGCGCAAAAGACCCAACCAATCGGGTGCTTGAGGTAATTGTCCATCATTTTAATTATCACGCAATAATAGGTGTGCACTGTATATAAGCAAGTGGAGCGAAGAATTTTTATGATACCCCTTATTCAATCGCGTACTTGGCAGAGTAAGTCTTAAAGTTACAGGAAACGATTATTCGCCGCGTATGCGAACGAAGACTGGAGGTTTTTCTTACACGTAGCAATTCAGAAACACTAGTGGGAGAAGCTTTAAATCGATTTTATCATTATACCTTGTGTTTTTCCGGCCACTCTGAATTTTATTTTATTTTATTTTTTACATCTGTTCATTGGAACAGTCGTTAAAAAATTTTCTTTGATGTATACTATAGCATTAACTGATAAAATAAAAACAATCTTACGAGTAAAGTATATCCCTATACGCGTAGAAGAGCGAAGATTATATTTAAAGATCGAAAATAAAAAAAAAAAACCCCCAAAGCCGATTCATTTTTGAGATATTTCAACGACGAAGTAATATTATTTGTATAAATATATGGGCCTCTGACGTATCATAATTCTATGGCGAAGGTCAACTGGTTTCAAACTATACTTGTATATACCCATACAAGGTTCATTTTTTGCACGTGGAGGTATACATTTAATACAGGTTTTTACTCGATGACTTAAATTTATTTATGAAGTGCACCTTTGTTATACCATCGATTTATTTATCAACCTTGAATCGATGAGAAATAATTTTCCAAGACTTGGGACATACTAAGTATTTCGTTGCGCTAATCCCGGAAAAAGGGGAATTTTTTTTTCGAGGATCATAGAAATGGTTCAAGATCTCTTGGCCGGTTATAAGGAAAAAATATTTTTCTCTTAAAATAAATTTGGATCTTAAAATTTTTTAATGGTTTCGAGCCATTTTCTATTAATCATAAGGTGGGGAAAGACGTTTTTTACCATTTTTTACCATTTTTACGAAAATGAAATTTTTTTCTGTAATTGAAGCGAAATATGTCGTGCGTTCGGAACAAAAATTGCAAAGAAAAAAAAATGAACATATATGTTTTTCAACAAACACACAGCAACCAGTTGTGATAGCCACACATGCGGCCAGAACGCCAGGTGTACGATGAGCGAGGGCCGGCCGGTTTGTTCGTGCTTGAATCTGTACGATGGCGATCCTCTTACGAGGTGCGAGCGTGTCGAATGCATCAGTAAGTATTTATTATTATAATCATCATCATCATCATCATCAGCCACAATGTCAGTTTTTACGTTTCGTATACCCGCAACATACTTAATTGGCAATGCCTAATCTATCATCGAGCACTTACGTCACCATAAAAAGGTTTGCGCGTGTATATATGTTTACGGAAATATAGTACATACAAGTGGAGTATCAAGCTCACTTGTATGTACCATAATTGCATGGCAAACGATTACATTATTACGCGTGGCGAACGCGCAAGGTCACGTAGCCCCTTTTTTGGTTCCTCATCGAGACTTATTTCGTAATATTTTCATCACACATTTCTGGATCGTGTTATTGACTAGTTCTCACAATTTATTTTATTTTTTTTATCTTCTTCTATTACGATTCGAACAACTACTATACCGATTAACTCGTTTCTTTTCTGAAAACAAAACAAATGCGAGTAAAAAAGAAAAATAGTACAATTAAATAAAAGGTGTGCATGGTCACTTTGATCAACAATCATTAACCGAGCGCGTATATGTTTTTTTACTTTACCAATACTAAAATATAATTTTAAAATTTTTAACGGGAATCAATGGGGATGAAAAATCCTGCAAATAAAAGAAATAAAATATTTGTGTTGTCCCCGAAAATGCAGTAAACGAGGATTGCATTGGAAGCCGCACCTGCAGCGGGAACCGATGCATCGATCCGTGTACCTACGCCTGCGGCACAAACGCGCTCTGCCAGACGATCAACCACATACCGGTGTGCAACTGTCCTCCAGGTCACACGGGCAATCCTCTGCACGATTGCGTCTACGACCCTGGCAAGTACATTTTTTTTTCTTTTATTTTTTTCTCAATGTTATAAACAACTACATACATTTACTCCCTGGCGTAAAAGTAAATTTCATGATGATTTCCCAAACAGAGGCGCCGTGCAAGAGCCCAAATCCTTGTGGGGCCAACACCAAGTGCGAAGTCAAGAACGGCGTGGCGGTGTGCTCTTGTTTGTCGGGATACCGAGAACGTCCTCTCGAGGGCTGCCGTCACGAGTGCGAGTCCGACTTTGACTGTCCCCAGCACCAGCACTGCTCGAAGGACTTTCGCTGCGAGAGCCCGTGCGCCTCCGTATGCGCCGAGAGCGCCGAGTGCAACGTCATCAACCACCGAGCCAACTGTGCCTGTCCCAAGGTCACCAGCATCATCATCATACACATCTTTTAAACCACATATACATTACATACGTAAAATACATAACCATTGAATTTTTTTTTCTCATTCTTGCAGAATTGGCTGGGTAACCCCCTCATATCCTGTCAGCCCGAGTGCACCCAGCACTCCAACTGTCCTGCCGGCAAGCCTGCCTGCCTCTATCAGAAATGCGTCGATCCTTGCGAGGGCACCTGCGGCACCAACGCCAATTGCGAGCTCCGCGACGTAACGCCCGTCTGCAGTTGTCCCAGGGACAAAACTGGCGACCCCTTCGTTTTCTGTCGGCCCTTCACCGATGGTATAATATATACATATATACGTGTATTAAATTAATATTAGCGCGTAATATTAGCGCGTACATTATGCAAAATGCCCCCGTTAACAACAATAACTCTTTTGGGCTACAATGTTCATTGACTTGCAGAGGACCTGTTCAGCGGGAATCCGTGCGGTGCCAACGCCGAGTGCCGACCGGGCCATGACAACACGGGTAAGAAGCGCCCGGTGTGCAGGTGTCCCCACGGCTATGTTGGAAACGCGCTAATCAGGTACACGCGTGTATATATATTGCATTGTATGCAATTTGATCTGATTTAAGTATATCTGAGAAAATATTGTGTGATGTATGACATATTATGTTATCAGCTGTAAGAGGGGCGAGTGCTTGTCCAACAACGAGTGCCCGGACAATCAGGCGTGCATCAACTTTGCCTGTCAGAACCCGTGCACGGGCCGTGAGTGCGGTTTAAATGCCAATTGTACACCTAGAAGACACATTGCAGTGTGCCAGTAAGTATTATTAATCATACTAAAAGAAATACATACTAAGTATCAAGGAGGTATGAAAAAAAATACAATAAGATGATAAAATTTATGTAAATTATTCAATACGTGCGGGTATCGATGAATCGATAAAATAAAAAATTATCACTTATTTTTCAGGTGCGCCGAGGGTTACCCCGAGGGGACGCACTCTTCTCCTGCAATCCCATCGAGGGTGGCCGTGCAGCCAACTACTACGGTCGCTACGCGCGCTACTGATTCTTATTTTTATTCCGAGCAACTGTTTTTTTTTTTTTTTTTTTTTTTGGATATTAGGGTAGTTCCCACTATCTACTTGTGTTGTACATAAATAACGTGTTTGATCCCTTCCTGTTTTCCACCTGTTGCAGTATTTTTAAGTTATTTCTCTCAGCTTATGGAGGTGATTGACCTTTTTTTTGTATACAACCGCTTTTATAACTATTCTCATTGTTTGATATATACATATACACACGTATGTATTGAGCGTTTTACATTTGTGCTATTCTAGTCGAAATGTCGAATCGACGATTAAACGTTATTTATTTTGCACGCTAACTGATATGTATTACGAATTTGCCTAATTTATCACATAAATTGTAGATGAAAAATAAAACGATAAGTACGTAAAATTTTAATACAATAGCTATTGTTTTATTTTCTTGTGACTGTCTATTTATATTACATGGGATGACTATTTCGGNCGAGCAACGTTTTTTTTTTTTTTTTTTTTTTAATTTGGATATTAGGGTAGTTCCCACTATCTACTTATGTTGTACATAAATAACGTGTTTGATCCCTTCCTGTTTTCCACCTGTTGCAGTATTTTTAAGTTATTTCTCTCAGCTTATGGAGGTAATTGACCTTTTTTTTGTATACAACCGCTTTTATAACTATTCTCATTGTTTGATATATACATATACACACGTATGTATTGAGCGTTTTAAATTTGTGCCATTCTAGTCGAAATGTTGAATCGACGATTAAACGTTATTTATTTTGCACGCCAACTGATATGTACAACAAATTTGCCTAATTTATCACATAAATTGTAGATGAAAAATAAAACGATGAGTACGAAAAATTTCAATACAATAGCTATTGTTTTATTTTCCTGTGACTGTATGTCTATTTATATTACATGGGATGACTATTTCGGATTTCATAGACTTCATGTTCAAAAAAACGAAAGAGACAAAAGAATCTGTAGCATATGCCTTTTTTGATAAAAATTGTATGGTAAATTTCTACATGAACTAATTGATAAGATCTGAAATGCTGACGTTATTTTTATTTTCTTATACCGAATTTGAAAAGTAGCGTTCAAGGGATGCTTAATTCCAATAATACTAAATATCGTATTTTGTGGCCTGAAAAAAGTAAAGTACTGGTATTATCAGTGGCTTTGAATGTTGAGTGTCAAGAAAATTTATTTAACATGTGACGACAATTGATTGATATGTATTAAATTCCATGATCTTAACATGTTTTATTTGCTTGATATGATCTATGAGGTATGTATGAAAGAGAATTTAGGACTTGCTTAAAAATTACTAGACTCAAACCTTTATAAAACTATAATGATGTATTAATCAATTATTTACAAAAGTATATTACAATCTGCTTTCTCGTTTGGAAAAAAAAAAAAAAAAACGAAAAACGACAAAATATCAACAGATTAAATGAAAAACATTTAATTGACACATCATTGTTCTTTGTTTTTTGCTTTTTTAGGCATTATAAAACAGCTTCGCGGTTGAATTTTGGCCCAAGGTTTTTTTACATTGCCAGTATCAACTACCTCCAAGATACTCGTCGTTTCAACCCCATCGAAGCGAATTGGCGTTAGAAATATGTAAAATTCATATGAATTTTACACATCGAACATTCTTTTTTTTTTTACTTGAAGGAACTTACTTCTGTAATCCAGTCGGATGTGCAAATTTGAAAGTGGTCGTTTGACAAACATCTGAAAATAAAAGTTTCATTTTCTAAAAATTCGATTCTTATTCACTTTGAATGTTGCGGTAAATATGCCTTTTTTGATCACAAACCTTCAGAGATAACCGGAACATCTTCAACTGTTTCGGGTAATGCAAATCT